TTACGGATTCTCCTGCAGGTGGTGGGCCCAGGGGAGGATGTCCCCACGTCACTCGTTCGGGCTAAGCCCGGCCAGGCCCCATGAGGGGAGGCCCGGCCACCAGGCGCTCACATTCGAGCCCCAACCCCGGGCCTGGCTCCAGGATGGGGCCCCGGCTGCGCCATGCCGGGCGACGTCACCAAAAGACACATTGCAAAAGTAAACAGTTTTGAATAAAAAGTGTTTTGCTTGGCTTGAGCAGTATCTGCACACTGTATCCAAGGATGTGCACTAGTCACACAGCTGTAGTCAAGGCTTTGCCTCTTAATCCTTTAATCTTCAATGTGCACCAGCTATGCTAACACAAACCACAAGCTTTCTGTGCTGCTCAGTCCTCACTCAAGGATCACATTAAAGAAAGTGTGCTTATCAGTGGAAACTGACATTGAGAAAATATATGAGAAAAACACTCATATCTAAAGCTTAAGGGAGCATTATTATCACAATATTGTGAAAGGCAAATTTCCTAACACAAAAAGTGAGAAACAAAGACAAAATAATATGTACCTCGTGCATATTCCTCAGACAGTCATTGCCAACCTTAAGCCCCTCAACGACTTTCATCTCAATTTGCATGAACTCAAGGTCTTGAACCTGTTGACAAATATTAGCATGTAAAAATTTATATTCTAACATTACAGACATAATTGAGCTATAGCTCAATTATAGCATGCTGCTTTTCTCTCATGGCCTCGAAATATTAAAAAATGTATTATTTTAAAATTAGTAAGCTCTTACCAGATTGGACTGGGTTTTTAAGACAGCAACACTTGTCATTCTCCACAATTTTAGGTAGATTTAAGTAGGATTTTGTAGGAAATGTGCTTGATTGCATTACCGTAATCAAGCAGCACAAAGGGATATTACACAAAACAAGATGAGATGAGTGAGAGGATTTACACATTTCATTGTGATATTTGGAGTTACACTGAATCTGCCCTCTTGCTCTAAAACATGCACATCAAATATAAATCTAGTATTGGCATGTAGCTCAGTGGTATTTGCCTTTTTGCTAAACTTATTAGAGAAGTGATTAATGTGATTTAACAGAATGTTACAAATCGAACACAACGTTTTCTCCTCTTCGGGTGATATAGTAACTCTTAAATAATGAGGGAACCAAACAGTGATCTCACAAAGCTTACCATGTGCTCTAGGTTTGAAATCTGATTTTCAGTCTTGTCTAATAGCTGATCCTGATATCGTTTTTTCTTAAGCAGCAGCAGTGCTTTTCTGCAGTAACAAAGAAAAGGCAAAACACAACAGTTACTATTGCACAGAGTATTTTTTTCCTACATACAGGGCCTTTTTTTTCTACATACAGGACTACATACAGTTTGTAGCATTGCATACAGAACAAAACCTACCTACTACAGTGTAGGAATATGTAGGACACCATAAATAAATAAAGCTGCACTTCAGTCAGTGAAATACTATATATTCTTCTACTGCCAACAACCTTTTCCATGTTTCTACTGTCCTGTCTTCATAGTGGTGTGACTAAAACATGATAAGTTTATGATTTATTATTTTACTGTTCCAGCTGAACACAAGAGTGTATACTGACTAAAT